AGTGCAGTAATTAAAGCTAAAAGCTGCAGACCAATGATATTTGGAGATACTGCATTTACATTCATGTGTATGTGAACAATAACAGAAACATGGACTTTGTATTCAAATAAACACAAGAAGTTTGTGCTCTAGAGAAAGGATCAGCGCTCAGTGAATAACCTCCTAAGCCCTATGATAAGCTATTATGGCAAGGCTTAACTATACAGACCAGTGAGCAGTGATAACTAACATGTCTTTGGGGTCATCGGGTGGGAACCTCCTTTCACCAGTGTTTCGTCTAGTTGGTCCCACGACACCTCCAGGAGGCTAGACAGTGATCTCTGGCGTCCCAGAGACACTCCCCTAATGCCAGGTCTCACTGCTCCCCACACCAACCCAATAACCTCCTTTACCTTACTTACACATGGCTTTCTCAGCCCAAACAGCACTGCCACCTTCAACCAAACCCAGGCTCCTTACATGCGAGCTCCAGGTAGAAGCAGTGCTGATACTACCTTTCCTAGCACATTCACCATACTCTATTTCACACGCTACATAGCATAGCTCCAATATAAGCTAAAGTTAAAGGAGATAGATAAACTCACAGGATCAGCAAACACACTCACCTTGCAGCATGGTCTCAAACACACTTAAATAACCTTCCTCTTCTTGGATTTCCTCCTGAGAGGACTGATTGGTGGATTTTTCCACCTAATATATACCTGATGTATACTGAATACATTCAAAGGAATAGTGTGTAGGATTTAGGGGAATATATTGACAGAAATGGAATATGTTTTCTTTAGTGTATGATTACCTAAACTATAAACTGTTGAACCTAACTGTACGTTCACACCAGAAGTTTCCAAAGAGGAAAAGTCTGTCATGGACGCCCCAGAAGCACGACTGTCAAAAATATCTGTGGCAGCTTTGGTTGCTCTAGTCGCTCATCATGTGAATCATTGAACGTTTGATCGTGCTTGTCAATTTAAAGGAGCTGCAAAGCGGACTACTGGCTTGAAAGCAGCGTAGTTGCTGCTTGCTGTTATCCAGTCAAAAAGCTCATAGTTGGCCAACAGAAAGTTGTTTGGTCAATGAAAACAGAAAACATATGTCATCCCATTCAAACCAAGCAAGGAAGACTTGCATGCTACGTCACAACATTAGCCTGCAATTCTCTCCTCTGTTATGAACATTACACACTTTAAAACTCACCAGACCAACCAACTACCTCCGTGATGTCCCAAGCCTCATTCTTTTTATTTTGGTCTCTGTAACCGAACAGCGACACATTATAAAGGACTGAGTGGGCACGAACGCAGGTAATAACCTTCTCGATATCCATTGTCAGAACAAGTGTGCTGTAGGAACCAAAGTTTCATGGCTTGTTCTCTGGGACCCGCTTCATCCAAGCACGTCAGCATTCCGATTGGTTGCCGCCGAACTGCGTCAAGCTCAGTGCCATAAAGTTAAATGAGTTTTATCTCCCCTCCGGACCGCTCTGGTCGCTTTGGTCGCCCAAGACGCGCGGCTGATGACCAGGTCGCCAAAGTTGCCCAAGTCGCCAGGCTCTCATTGATGAATGACTTCGGCCATTTTGGAAGCTCTGGTCACTTCCGGTGTAAACGTACAGTTAGATTGAGCTGTTTAAATCTACGTAGGGAGCGGGTCCTCATCTACCGAGTCCACCATGTTGCACTGCCATGTTCCTATAGTAGCCCAGAACGGATAAACCAAACAGTGACTCTAGATAGGGCCACTCATGTTTTCACATCAGCCACCATAGTTAGCAGCCTCTCTACGACGAGCAACATCAGTAAAACAGATGTTTAACATGTAATCGCTTTATTCATATTTTTTGCCAATTTAAATCACCTGCACCATCTGTGTTAGAGAGGAAGAGACCTCTGTGGATAATTCTGCTAACTGTAAAAACAATGAACACTTAAGGAATTCTAACCAGGAGACATTTCAGCTGCTTCCAATTTGCAATCCTCACTGCGAGATGCCACTAATTCCTACGAATCCTACACACTGCTCCTTCGAAACAGAAATACATTTTTTTCAATCTTTAAACTGCACTCTCATGTTCAATTTTCTAATATGTTGCAGCTGATAACTATAATAACAAACAAAAGCATAACTGAACTATATTCAGTGTAAATATACAGTACCTGACACCGAGAGAAGGAAGACAACAAGTCCTGCTGCTTTAAAACTCACAGCTGGTCCTCTCCTCTGTCTGCTGTGACTTCAGAGACAGTGAAACACATCAGAAGTTTCGGATTGGAGTTTGTGTCAGTCTGTGCTGCTTGAGACACTGTAACGCCCTGAAATCCATAGAGAAACAATCCACGCACCTCCAAGAGAGGATACTGGTGTGTTAGTTATTAATTTGTAGATTACAGACTTGTAAGAGGCGAGGGAGAGTCAGTGATGCTGAAGAACGGCCTTTGTGCAATAGCTGCTGTGTCACTTTGAACATTAAGCTGTTACGTCACTTTACACATTAGTTAACATGTTTCGGGAAGGTGGCATGTTAACATGATGCACGTCAGTTGGTCAGCACGTTATATAACACAGAGACATCCCCAACATGCAAACGTTAACACGCTACCAAGAAAAGGTCCACTGGAAGGCCATGCATAAATAAATACCCACCCCAGATCCATGCTGACGTCACTCTCAGTGGCTTTTGGTAACTCTTTTACTGTGTGTAAAAAAAAGTGGTAAAATGCTGAATCTAAAAACATGAATTTTAGCCTAAACAGTAACACAGAAACACACAGGAGAGAAACCTGAAATCGAAGGCTTAGTTTCTCTTTCACTGTTGAAGTCCTCCTCCTCCTCTTTTTCCTCCTCTTCCTGCAGGGCTGGGCTGCAGCTGGAGTCTGCAACAACATCTGGCTGGTGGAGAGAATCTTACACTGGTGCACAGAACACAGCTCAGGTGTAACTCAGGATAGCAAATAAGACTTTTACTGCACTGAAGCATCAGATTAGCATCCAGTTAAATATCTGCAGGGTAAAAAGTGGAGAGGATAATTTGCTAAAGCTAAGAACCGGGATCCTGAAGCTCGCTATCAGTCTGTTTTTGTAGTTGTAGTACCGAATATTCACCAGCAGAGGTCGATAATATTCATATTTAATTTGCTATAACACCTCATTCTTCATGAAGTCTGTTGTCTGTTCTTTAGTTGAACTGGTGAGCCCCGTGGTAGGTGCATGGTTGGATTGAGAGTGCCTAATTCATGGTGGGAAAATAAAGGAGTAGTTCACAAATTTTAACTTTCTATACATCACAGCTGGCTGTGATACTCACAGCATCTCCGTGTTTTAGGTTGTGCATGTTTTTATACTTTTTTACAAGTTTTATACATGGACAAAAAAAGTCAGAGCAAACACTCTGATTAAACTTTTATTTGCACACATCAACAAAAACTTTGCTCTGAATAATAAACACAAAAAGTGAAACCAAAAACTGTCCGCACACTGTCGCCCTCTGCACTGAGAGGGAACTGACACGATGTTCTTATTTTTTTAAACTCTTTTTATTGAATTTCAAAACTTTTCAACAGTCGTTAGTGTACAGACAGTGTTAAGTGAAACAGGCAATTTTTAAACATCAAACCCGCTTTCCCACCCCCCACCCCTGTACCTTCACCCATCTCAGGTCATGAGGCACAAAGAGACAAGTGAGTAAACAAACACACCAAAAATAAATAAATAAAATAACATAAAATAAATAAATAGAATAAAATAAAATCAAATAAAACAAGGGGGAAAGAGTCAAAAAGGACGATGATTTGGGTAGTTGATCAATCCTCTTCTGGGTCTGGTATAATGTGTAAGAGGTCAGTACAGTATATTCCAGCAAAGGGTTCCAGGTATTCTAGAATTTCCTTATCGAGCCCATGAGGGAAAATCGAAGTTTCGCAAGTTTAATGCTATACATATGTTAAATTAAGTGCCTGACCAACAAAGTCGTGAAGGCCAGAGCTCGTTGTGCGGCAGCAGGGAAGCCAGTGTTGGGGGGAACACCAAAGATAGCTGAAAGAGCACTGGGACTAATGACCACACCATAAGCCAAGCTTATTGTTTCAAATATGTTTGACCAATAATTTATCAATTTGGGACAAGACCAGAACATGTGAATGTGATTAGCAGGTGATTGTTTGCACCGGTTACAGGAATCATGGACATCAGGAAATATTTTGGACAATCTAGCATTAGTATAGTGGATTCTATGTAGAATTTTGCATTGGATTAGCCCATGGCGGGCACATATGGAGGAGGAATGGACCTAGTCTAGAATGCACTTCCAGTGTTCATCAAGTAAGTCTGTCCCCAGGTCACTTTCCCAGGCATTTTTAACACGGTTAACGAGGTCCAGACTGACTGAGTTCATGGAACCACAAATAACTGAGATGCCTTTCCTCTGATTGGGATCCATATTCAGGAGGATATTGATCAGGGTTTCAGGAGGGCGATTGGGGAAATGAGGAAACTGTTTTTTAATGAAATCTCTCATTTGAAAAAAAAAAAAAAACGAAAAAGGTGAGAGTTGGGTGGATGGTATCTAGCTGAGAGCTCTGCAAAAGATGAGAAAATGCCGTCTGTATATAAGTCATTAACCGTTACTATGCCGTTGTTAAACCAAGTTCGAGATGCTGAATCTGTACTCGAGGGTTGAAAGCCATGATTGTTAAGTAGTGGGGCAAGACTGGAGGGTCTGTGCAAGCCAAAATGTTTTCTAAACTGACCCCATATTTTAAGAGAATTAGACACAACCGGATTATTTGTAATGGATGTGGAGGGGAGGGGTAGCTGGGAGCATAATATGGAATGTAAAGAGATTTGGGAGGCTGCCTTCTCCAAGTAAACCCAAGCAGGTAAATTGTCAGGATTGCCACCCATCCAGTATGGGAGTCCCCCAGAGGAATTTGGAGACCATCTTGTCTAAATTAGTGAAGAATGCTTTCGTAATAAGTACCATAATCTGCTCTGACACGATGTTCAATCTGCAGAGTTGATGTGGAAGCTGGATGTTTGTTTCAGCCAGCTCCTGCAAAACTTTGAATATGTTACAACTAGCAAAATGTGATAAAGCTGAGGATGTTTTTCAGTGTGTTCAAACATGCACTGTGAAATATTTTGCTTCCAGTGACATTTCTGTTTTGAACAGACTGACAGGACAGGTGTGAGGTGGTGGCTATATATATATTTTTTTTTTCACAAGCAGTTTATTGAAACGTAAAATACCATTTTGAAATCCTTGATATATGTATTGTACCTGCACAGGTACAAATAAAGCTTTCATTGAACTCAAATCTTCTGCTACATGCGGCTGCAACTAAAACCTGAAAACTCATAAATGGACGAAGTTGTTTTGAGTTCATTAGGTTTTCCATGCAGCAGCATCAAACCTGGCGGATCCTTCACACCAGGTTCTCCTTTGCGTCTTCTATCTGTGCTGCAGTGATGGTGCTCAAGGCTGAGGAGTTGATTGTACAAGGATCAAACTCTGACTGCTGAAGAGAGATGACAAGATGAGAGTCAAAGGGAAGAGTCATAAGTGGAATTTGGAAACAATTCGATTTTAAAATCTCTCTCTCACCTCCAGAGTCTCATTGGGTTCATTCAGCTCAGTGGTGGAGCTCAGAGTTTGCTTCTTCATGAATCTAATCCAAAAACAAATAAATACATAAAGTTAATTGAAAACTCCAACTATCAAAGTGAATATTCAAAGCAGAACATCAGTGATGATTCATTTTTATTTGTTCACCTCACACAGCAAAGAAGAGCAAGAAGCAGTAGAATCAACATGACAAACACCAGTGTCAACGTGATGATCGTTTTGGTATTTGTTGATTTATCTAGAAACAGAGATAGACAGTCATGAGATATACAGTGCTGCACCTCACTAGAAGGGTTTGATTCATGAATTGGGTGATGCTGTCTGTTAACCAGCCAATAATTAGTGTCACAGAGAAACTAACCTGCCACAACAGTCAGTTGTAAGGTGGAGTTATGACGTCCTCTTGTGTTCTGGGCTTCACAGTAATAATTCCCACTGTGTTCAGCTTTGATGTTAGTGATGGTGAAGATCTGTCCTGATGCTTTTGGTGAGTCTTCATCCTCCTTGTACCAGGTATAGTTAGCTGCTGGGTTAGCATCACTGCTACAGGTCAGAGTCACTGAACTGCCCTCCACTATCTCAGCAGAGGGACTCACTGACACAGAGGGAAGCTTTGGAGCATCTGGAGGAGAAATGACAGACAACTTATCAATCTTTGTTTACACACCAGTTTTTAAGTATGGACTGCCAAAGCCAGAAGGTGGTTACTGTGTTATCCACCTACTTTAGAAGTCCTGAGAGAGGCTGTTGTCACCTCTACAAAGCTAGCTGTCAGGCTACAGTGACCTCTAACAGACCTGTACATGAAACTTATGTCCTGTATCTGTGAAGAAACTTAGTGGCCTCTAGCTACAGTGAAACCATTTAAGATACTGCACAGTGGCCACCGTCAGGATGAATCCTAAATGGAAGCTGTTCAAACCTTACTTCCATCAGGGGATTACTGTATATTCCTATTACTTAGGTAGTTTTCCATTTTTCTGCTTGTATATAATTTCAGTGTCACAGTATTTGTACTTGTGGTGAAGCTTATCAGACGTGACTGATGGAGCACACCTGCTTGAATAGCTAAAGTATCTAACATAATAAGGCATCTGACACAGACAGACATTTCCCTGAGACCTAAATTCAACAAAGAAGACAATAAGAAGTACTCGTGTTTGATTTTACTCAGGCTTGTTGCTGATTCAGTCTTCCTCCTACTCATAATGTAATGAACCTCTTCCATGTTGCAGCACTGTGCCAGGATTGTGTTACTGCTGACTGTGAAGTTACGCTCGGGCTCAAGCTTGTGCCAAGTTTCACAACGACATTTTTTTAATCCATCGTCTGACTCCACGCAAGTGGAGACAGACGCAGATGCTTCCCCATGTCCACGTGACTTTTTTAAACCAAACCCCAACTTGAAATACTGTTTCAATCTCCCACACCACAGCTCTGACAATTACTTTAAACAAATCTGACATGCAGTTTGCTGCTGTGGGAACATATCATGTTCTCTGCTCATTACTGTGCACAAATGTACTGTATGCACTTTGGCCTCAAGAGCTCTTCAGAAACTTCCTGGCAGGGTGCACTTTGTAAGCACACAAGAAAATGTCTGCATGCCCAAATGCAAAACAAATTTTGTGGAACAAGTGCACTTTTTTTTTCACTTGAGCACCTGCCTCACAAAATGTCTGTGCACAACACTGGTAAGTATTGATGCTTTTTACTTACACTGGACATCTATTAAAATGGATGAAGAGTTAATCCGTCCATGTTGATTCTCAGATGTGCAGTAGTACTTCCCTCTGTCTTCAGAGCTGATGGACATGAACTGATATACACCGTCTGATCCTTGAAGCACTTTTTGGTTTTCCATGTACCAGGTCTTTTTAGCTGCTGGGTTAGCTTCACTGCTGCAGGTCAGAGTCACTGAACTGCCCTCCATGATTTTACCAGAGGGATTCATTGACACAGAGGGAACTCTTGGAGCATCTGGAGGAGAGATTTCAACAGAGGTTTTTCAAGGTTAGGCTAAAGCTAAATAATAATGAAAATGAAAATGTAGAGCTGAAGAGAGCAGGTATCATCAGCAAACACTGGACAGATTTAAGCTGTATGTTATATTTAAATAAGCTTTTTCACTCACATTTCACATCCATGGTGAAGTCATTAGACCTCATCTTCCTCAGCATGTTCTCGGCTGTGCAGTAATACTGTCCAGAGTCAGAGGACTGGATGGAGCTGAAGACAAGTTGTGGTCCTTCACTGAGAGGTCTGGGGTTTACGGTCTTCTTGTACCAGGTGTACTTAGCTGCTGGGTTAGCATCACTGCTGCAGGTCAGAGTCACTAAAATGCCCTCCATGATTTTACCAGAGGGATTCACTGACACAGAGGGAACTCTTGGAGCATCTGGAGGAGAGATTTCAACAGAGGTTTTTCAAGGTTAAAGGTGTGTTACCACAAAAGAACATATGGTATTTTAGATTTTGAAGGTGCTCTGACAAATGGATGTGTGACTGTTGAGTCCCAAAACTGCATAAAATACCTAAAATCTTCTGGAGCTGCTCAGTTAATGACAGCAGACTGTGAATGTGGAACTAATCCATCAATCGATCATTTATTTGTCACATGGAGTTATACGAGATACAACTCCAGTGAAATGTGATCCCATCAGCTCCTTTAACTTGTGCACTTTAATTTAGTCCCTTTTAAAGGTCTTTTTACATTGTTAGCTGCTGCTTTGTTATTGTCCATGTTTCCAAATGGTTCCAAGATGGCTGTATGGTTGCTTCTCCCGAGCAGTGATCCACAGCAGGAACAGGACAGCACCTCACATTCCCGCTGACACACCAGTCCTTATTCACTGTAAAGCACACACCTACTCTCCTTCTCTCACCAGAGTCCTCTACTTTGTCAGATCAGCATATTGAAAAAGAGCCTCCTGGTTGAATGGCGCTGTCCAGGATTCAGCCAAGTTTCGGTGAAATAAGGGTTCAGTTCATGAAATCTTGTTGGAAAATAATATGGCATGGAGGTCATCCAGATTGCTTTTCCAACGCCTGTACAGTGGCGAGCAGCTGGGGCCCATTCCTCTTACTTTTTCTTAGATGTTTACTGAACTTTGACTTAGCTACAGTAACTGGCAGAAGTCAGCAGCAGGACAGTTTACAGACAGGTAAGTTGATGTCCTCATCCTGATGAGTGACTCACAGCCACACGACACCACCATCCAAAGCCAGCCACAAAAAGCACCACTAACACTTGCGAAGTAGACATAAGAGCCTAAACTTTGCACAAACGCAGCAGAGCTGACAGAGAGGTGACTGCAAATGTCTGCACCTACATCAAGCTAAAGCTATATGATAATGAAAGTGAAAATGTAGAGCTGAAGAGAGTAGGTATCATCAGCAAACACTGGACAGATTCAAGCTGTATGTTATATTCAAATAAGCTTTTTCACTCACATTTCACATCCATGGTGAAGTCATTAGACGTCCTCCTCCCCAGCTCGTTCTCTGCTGTGCAGTAATACTGTCCAGAGTCAGAGGACTGGATGGAGCTGAAGACAAGCTGTGGTGTGTCACTGAGAGGTCTGGGGTTTACTGTCTTCTTGTAACAGGTGTAGTTAGCTGCTGGGTTAGCATCACTGCTACAGGTCAGAGTCACTGAACTGCCCTCCACTATCTCAGCAGAGGGACTCACTGACACAGAGGGAAGCTTTGGAGCATCTGGAGGAGAATTGAACATGAATAACTTTAAAAGATGATAGAAGACATTATCACAGACAACAGAGTATTTTAGCAGTAATTGTTTTGTAAGATTATCTCTAGTATTTGTCACAGCAGCTTTGTTGAGTTCTGATCCTGGAGCTGTCACAGGTTAGACTCATTAACATTAGTTTTCAACAACTCTACATATTCTTCTCTTTACATACTGCCAAGCTGGAGGATCACTTCCCAAATAATTCTACAGAGCAGACCGTATAAAATTATTGTGGGTGGGAAGGCATTCTCGGAACCCATCGGCTGTATTTGGCGTCTGACTTCCAGCAGACGGCGATAGAATGTCGAGTCTGTATATAGAGACTAGTGGGAAGGTAACCTTTAGTTTCATTTTGGAAAGAAAGGCTTTTATTAACATTTCCATTGGGCCGTCCCCATGAAATACAACAAATCCCTCCTCATATTTTCTGTATACTTACAGCTGTTGCATCAACTGATATTTTATTCAGCTTATTTGTTTGTAGAAAAAACAAATAAAAACTAAACTAAAACTAAACATTTTTAACAATAAAATCTAAACAAAAAAAAAAAATCAAACCCATTTTGGATACTAGCTAAAACTAAATTGAATTGAAAACTAAAACTGAAAATAAAGTAAAAATAAAAACCAACAAAAAAATAAAGTATACACAAAAAAATACACTATGGTATATCTGAGAGCAACAACATATTATACCTCTAATATTACTGAATCACAAAAGTAGAAAAATTAAAAAATGTTACATCACAGCATGCATCAGAATATTGCTTCTGCTAGTAGTAGTAGTAAAACTATAATTGTGTTGTAATGTCAGAACGTATGTGTCTTTTTTGTCCTGACACAGTGGATTAAACTTACACACTGAAGGAGAGGGGAACTCCTCGCGTCCTCTTATAGCACAGGAGACATTGTCACCAAGATATAACCAGGCTTTATAAGACGATGTCTCCACTCCAGTAATTTCCACTTTATTATTGAACCAGACGTAGGAAAGACGACCAGCTGGACTGCAGCTGCTGTGACACTTCAGCTCTGCCTCAGTAACAAACTGCCCGACTGATATTCTGGTCACCTGCACCTGGAGAGCTGGATATGAGAACAAGAAACAATATTATCGCTGTGTCTAAAAAACAGATGATGGATGTACATATCATACACATCAACACAACAGTATTAATTCCTATAAGAGGTAGAGAGCATTTGTATCTATTTATTTATGCAACAGTAATTACACAAACACATTGATCCTTATCCACATGTTGAGTGTTTTTAAATGTACCGTGTTGGTGTATTTACATCAGTCTGTGTTTACCTGTGACAGTCAGAGTTGTACCAGGTAAACTACTCCTCCATTCAAAGCTTGGTGTTGTGAATTTGAAGTGATACTCAGCTGAGTCGCTCTCTCTCAGGTCAGTGATTCTCAGGGTGGAGCGTCCTCTCTCTGTGTCAATGACCTGAACACGACCTGCAAACTGGGAGTCTTTACTAAGGTCCTCAGGCTGTGAGGGATTCTGCCACTGATCTTTACGTTCAGGACTGAACCAGAATTTGGATTCAACATGATTCTTGTAACTGCTGTAAGTGCAAGAAATGTCCACTGATGAGCCTTTGAAGGCACAGATGTTTCTGTCAGTGTACGTCACTCTGTTGCAGGTTTGACCATCGGCACCTGAAAGATAAAATCATCTTCTCATCATTTTTAAAGTGCAGTCATTGAGGAGTCACAAGTGGGATCTCCATATTAAGGAAACATGAATAACACAGCTCCACTAGATGGCGTTATGTTAATAGATATATGTGGAGTAAACTCACATGTTGGAGGAGAGGGGGAATCCTCATATCCTTTTACAGCACAAGAATAGCTGTCTTTGTAATTATAGTTGCTTAAATAAGAAGAAGATGCTTCTGTCTGAATTTTCTGTCCGTTTTTGTACCAGATGAAGGAAGGGCGATCAGGTACACAACTGCTTTGACAGTCAAGCCACTCACGCAAAAAATTATATGATCTGCTCACCTGGAGACCTGGATTTGTGAAGAGGGAACAGGAATGTTATTTTAGACAAAACTGTCAACACACACACATGCAAATAAACACATCTATATTATTGTTTTCTAGATGTTGAACATTTGTAAATAATTAACATATTAATGAAAATGTTACCTGTGACAGACAAAGTGACTCCAGGTGAACCAGTATAAACATTGGGTTGGTCTGTTATGAACATGAACTTGTACTCAGCTGAGTCGCTCTCTCTCAGGTCTGTAATTCTCAGAGTGCAGTTGTTCCTAATCTTATCACAGTCATACTGCACACGACCTGAATACTGTGGGTCTGTTGTCAGATCTACAAGATCATATGGATACATGTTGGCAAACCAGAATGTTTTTTCAACTGTATTTTGACGGCCATATATTCTGGATGGGTATGTGTATCTGCAGTGTATTTCCACTGTTGATCCTTTTACAGCACAGATCTTAGTAGGACTGTAAGTCACTCCCCAGCCATTCTGACCCTGTATCACTGTAACACAGAGCACAACAGGAACCACAGTGTGTGCACTGGTGCCATTCTTAAGGTGCATTAAAGCAACAGTAATATATTCAAAGGAGCAGTGTGTAGGATTTAGGGGAATATATTGACAGAAATAACTACCGTAAAACTTGGTGTATAAGTCGCACTTTTTTCCCCTTTTTTCATCTAAAAAGTTGGGTGCGGGTTATAGACCGGTGCGACCTATAGACCAAGGTGAATGCTGACATAGGTAATTTGACCCACAAGATGGCGCTACGTTAGGCTGACCAACATGGACATGTCCACTTTTCACGTCCCGTCCGGGGCCTTTTATAAATTGATGATAATGTCCGGTTTTCCGTGTGTGTGTGTGTTAGAGTGCGGAACGGGCCGCATATTTCTGTCCGAACCCGAACCGAGCCCGACATTATTTAATGACCAAAGCATTGAGTTTGTGTCACACAGTTGTCATGGTTACAGGCTATTTAACAGGCCGGGCGTGCTCAGCGGAGAGGGAGACCTCCATGTTTGAGACGGCAGCGGGCGGCGGGAGTTCCGACGCTTCTAGCGAGAGGAGAGGGAGAAATAAAACAAAATAAGATAAAATAGGAAAAACCTGTCTCCCTCTTTATTTTATTTTCAGCGTTTAATCAAGGCGGAGGCGGGCGGCTGGAGGTCCGAGACTTCCAGCGAGAAGAGAGGTGGAAACAAACAGCCAGTGTGTGTGTGTGTGTGTGTGTGTGTGTGTGT